CGTTTTCGAATACAGTAATAATTATATAATTATAATTTCAACATAACATTTCTTTGATTCAAAAGTTGATCAATAAATATATTTATATATAAAAAGGCGTACCAAAATCAGTGAGAAAGAAAACAATTTTCTTTAAAATACGTCGATGGATTCTCCCTCTTTATCAATTTATTGCAAAATAAACTTAGTTTACCTGTAAACTAAGTTTATTGTCAATAAATTGAGCAATCCCTCGAAATATTTTGTGAAAAAAATTTTCACATATCCAGTTACGCCTTTTTAAATATAAATATTAATCTACCTTGTTCTTTTGACAACTTTCGCTAACTACCTTTTCTCTTTCGAATATTTGTTAATGATCTATCTCACATTTTGCATACAATATTTTGCACTAAATTGATAATACATAATCTAGAAAAAAATGTAATTTTCTGAGAATCCGTTTTAACGATCATTCCGATATAGCAATTACTATATATAGTCACGACCGTCTTTCCTCATTCCTCATCGGCCGCCTCTGTCACTGATGCGCGCGCACAGGGAGGTCACGTGCTCGCCGGCAGCCAACGGGCGCGCGCCGCCGGCATTACGTCATAGATTATAAACACAAGGTAATAAGGCCAAATAAAAAATAGTGTGTGATAAGGCACAATTTGGATTATAGATTATAAACACAAGGTAATAAGACCTAATCCAAATAAATAAATAGTGTGTGATAAAGCACAATTTGGATTGTAGATTATAAACACAAGGTAATAAGACCAAATCTAATGATAAGGCAAAATTTGGAATATAGATTAGAAACAGAAGGTAATAAGACCAAATCTAATGATAAGGTATAATTTGGAATATAGATTAGAAACAGAAGGTAATAAGACCAAATCTAATGATAAGGTACAATTTGGAATATAGATTAGAAACAGAAGGTAATAAGACCAAATCTAATGATAAGGCACAATTTGGAATATAGATTAGAAACAGAAGGTAATAAGACCAAATCTAATGATAAGGCACAATTTGGATTATAGATTAGAAGGTAATAAGATCAAATTTACTGATAAGGTACAATTTGGAATATTTTTATATATAGTCACGACCGTCTTTCCGGGGGGGGGGGGCATTACGTCATAGATTATAAACACAAGGTAATAAGGCCAAATAAAAAAATAGTGTGTGATAAGGCACAATTTGGATTATAGATTATAAACACAAGGTAATAAGACCTAATCCAAATAAATAAATAGTGTGTGATAAGGCACAATTTGGATTATCTATATATATAAAATTGAATGTCTGTCTGTCTGTACTCTATAGATTCAAAAACCATACATCCAATCGCCGTGAAATTTTGGGATATTATTAGGTATATCACCGGGAAGGTTTTTGAAAATAATTTCCTGAATATCTCGAATATCCTTAGAGTTATTTGCAGATTTGTAGATTTAACTCGCAAGCAGCGCCCAATTGTGACGATGATAACAAGTTTTCTTATCACTAAGTTTGTTATCTTAAATATTATTTATCAAAAGTAAGATTATCTCAGGATGACACGGCAATGTGACACGGGAAAAAATGTTCACTGGATAAAACTATGATTTTCTAATGTAGAAAATTAGGAAAGACAAAATTCAGGATGACACGGCACACAGGGACCGGGAAAAAATGTTCACTTTATCGAGAGATTCAAATTTACGAGTTTCAAATTATCAAAATATATCTTTTTTTTTAAATAAGTTTTTAGAGAATTGTTTTAACAAATGTTCGCTAGACAAACCTTTACTCGGGTAAAACCCCGGGGGAAGCCGAGTACGTTTTATAAGTTTATAGAGAATTGTTTTAACAAATGTTCGTTAGACAAACATTCACTCGGGTAAAACCCGGGCGAAGCCGGGCACATCCGCTAGTATTTAATACAGTTATCAACGTCATGCACAATTCTGTCGCGTTAAATCACGTGTCAAGTTATGGTAAGTAGAAATTTAAAAATTAAAAAAAGATGCCGAAACCCGGGATCGAACCAGGGACCTTTAGATATTCAGTCTAACGCTCTCCTAACTGAGCTATTTCGGCTTATTTTATTTATTTCTATAGAAGCTTCTATCTTTATAATTATGTATTTTTCAAAAAGTCAATTCACACCTCTTCGCTGGAGACCATGGGAATACTGACTAATTCATTATGCTAACATAATTATAAATACAAGTATCAGAGTCATCAACAATTCTGTCATCGTTTGCTTTTGTGAATGGAATAAATACCCAAATAGGACCATTTCTTATAAGCATCGGTGGTTCAGTGGTAGAATGCTCGCCTGCCACGCGCGCGGCCTGGGTTCGATTCCCGGCCGATGCATTTTTTTTCTTTTTTACAATTTTTAAAACTCATTTATATTATTATCCCTATATATATAATAAAAGTCAGCGTATGTATGTATGTATGTATGTTTGTCAACTATACACGTCCACAATACGTAACTAATATGACTGATATTTTAACAGTATATAATGTAGAATCTGGAAAAACTTTTAGTGAAAATTTCAGGTCTCTATCCCGAATATCCGTCGTGTTATTTGCAAATTTGCTCTTTCGCTCGCGTCTCTAGCGGTGAAAATGAGGGGTAATACCAACCGACCTAATGTACATGTAAAGTTTGGAGCGGGACGTTTCACAAGAGTGACATCCACGGCTCCAATTTATAATTGTAACAAATAGTATTTGAATAAAAACATTCAATCGGGTAAAACACGGGCGTTGCCCGGGTCATTCGGCTATATATATATATATGGAATATATATTCTCGAATAATTAAAAATCAACGAGAATAGTTGATATTTATTCCGATAGATGGCGCAAGCCATCAGCAACTTTCAGTTGCATAATAAGGAGATGCCTTTTTCTTCATTTATGCACCTTATCCCAGTACAATATCACATTTGTACTATTTGTTCACAATATATATAAGGTTGTTCCAAAAGTTCGTGTTAATCATAAAACGTTGTTTTTCTTATTATTTGACGGATAATATTATTACTGCGAATGCATAATACAATTACCTTATACATAATACAAAGACCTTATAGATAACGGCGAATAATATTGGTATTTCATTTTTTGCAAGTGTTTACGAGTTTTGGGACAACCTTGTAGTTCAATGTCAATATTTCTATTTGAGATATTGCTTATTTGATTCAACCCTTCACATAGTGAACCTTAATATCGTTGTGTATATTTTTGAAGTCTGATCGGCCTTTATTATTATCTAACCATTTATATGTCGAAACTTTATTTCTGATTTTCAAATATTTGGCACAATGTTTTATGTACATCGTTGACTAATTCTTGAGGATCGAGTTTTTTCTTCCCGCCGAGATCCGTCATTGGCCTCATATCGAGAAGAAAACTAGGAGGATAGGGTCTTTTGATAAGCCATCCGTCTTTGTCGTAAGGATTTTCCAAATCACATTCTTCAAATATTTCTAACGGTTGAAGCAGGGGATAGATTTGGTTTCTGCCCCATTCAGGGATATTGCCCGGGTAGCCTTGGATCTGGTTGGGCTTACGTTTAAACCCGCATTTCTTACAAGCCTCATTACCCGTGTGATCGCATGGGAAGTTAGAGGGAAAAAACGGCTTTAGGTATTCTGATTCTTCTAATTTCATTTCCTCTCTTTTTGAATGAGACAAAGTGTCTCGGCCACCGCATTTCTTGGGTCTGACGTTTGTATCACGCTCTTTCAAGATCTCGTCTGATTTGTGCCTGCAATCTTTCTTCTTATAAGCGCTATGGGAGCAAGACTCCTTCGAAGTTGAGCTATATTTATCTGACTGAAATGATTGGTTTTTCTTTTTCTTTGAGCATCTAGCAATTTCGAGTGATTGGCATTTCTTGCACTTTTTCTTTAAGTGCGTGCATTTGTTCGATTCAAATGATTGCTTTTTCGATGTACGCGAACATTGGCTTTTCTTTAAGTGCGACCCTTTGTTTTGGTAGCCGGATTGCATTTTCAACTTATGTGGGCATTGCTTTTTCTTTGGCTCGGAACATCTACCAAGTTCTAAAGATGATTTTTTCGTCATATGAGAACATTTTTTATTATTTGACTCAGGCTCTTTGTTCGATTCGACGGAGTGGTTTTTCGGTATATGTGAACATTGATTTTTCTTTGAGTGAGAATCTCTATTCTGTTCACCATATTGCCTTTTTGTCATATGTGAACATTTCTTTTTATTTGAGCCAGAGAATCTATCCCTTTCGGAAGATGCTTCTTTTGTCCCATGCGAATATATTTTGTTCTTCGAGACGGAACAACTCTCCAGTTCATCATATTTTTTTCTCGTCGTATGAGAACATAGATTTTCTACAGATTTTTCTTTTTTAACGTTTAGATCTTTCCTTGATTTTTTTAAATGTTCTCTCCTTTTACATGAAGGCATTACTCATAATTTAGAAAAATTAATTTATCAATAGGTCTTTTATTTGAATTTTAGTCATATATAATTTACATTTCCATGGTATGAGAGAACAATAAAAATAATTTTTGGCCAATCACAGTCGGCCGCCGGGCGCTCCAGCTGCTCTCTTAGGCCTAGGGGTCAAGAAAGCTAAGATCATCGATATTCAAAGGAGGTGAGATCGCAGGAGACGAAACACTCCATCAACGAAAGCCGAATTAGATTTCAACTATCTTGTTATAATTATCAATGGCCGCATGATTAGAGCCTTAGTCGAAACAGATGCATCTTACTCGGTGATATCTGTGTTGGGAGAATCGTAATAAATACTCTCTATTAAAACATAAAACTTCTTTATTGAAGGCACAAAAACAATAAATCTAAATTTCTATAATAAAACTAAAAACTCTTACACCTAAACGTCTCCTCATATACTATCTCCCACACTACTCTCAAAGAAATACATATATTTATATACACTCAACACCACAGAATAAATTAAGTCACAAATTAATTCAATCACAGAATGAAAATTAACATTTTAAATAAATAACATCAACAAATCTCCCCTTCAAATTTTCAATTTTCATTTTTCAAAAATAACTCCACCACTTATGCAGTTCTTAAGCTTGACAGCATCCACAGTCTTGGTGAGATGGTCCGCTTTCATTTCTTCTGAAGGGATATGCAAAACTTCAATTTCTTCATCTTCCATGGCTTTAATCCATTGTTCTCTATTATCAGAATTCAGTGCTTCTTGGTAATCCTTCGGACATTTGATTTCATAAGTTCTATCAGAAACATTTTCCTTATTCTTCATTAATCTTAATCTTTCAGATCTCCTCACACCCTTTTTTATAAGTTCTTCTTCCTCGGTTTCTCTCAAACGAAGATCTCGTTCATTTCTCATTTCTCTCGTCATCCCTGGTTCTGGTCCTCTTCTATGTGGAGTAATTATTTCATCAGGAGGTATTTCATCTATTTCACTCAAATCTACATCATTATCATCTTGAGGAATATGTTGTATGTTCATCATCGATGTTAAAGTTTTCTACTTGGTCTTCTCTATTATAAATATCACCACCAGAGTCTTCATTTCCGTGAGAAATCAAATTTTTGTCTTCTCTACTAAAAAAGAAAAGTTCATTTTCATCGAGATTTCTTCCACTATTATTGATTAAATAATATCCTAGTTTAGATTCATTAAAATTAACATCTGATACTTCATGTATTTCATCCATTTCTGGTAAACATATTCTATAGCCTTTTCTTATCATACTGTATCCCATCATGATCCCTTTATGAGCTTTTGGTTCCATCTTCTTTCTCTTTTCTTTTCTTATATGAACATAAGCTTCACTTCCGAACCTTTTTAAGTAAACAATATTTGGTCTCCATCCCTTGTATATCTCGAAAGGAGTTGTATTCATTTCTTTAATTTTAATTCTGTTATTTATATGAACAGCTACTTTAAACACTTTCACTCCAAAATTTTATAGGTAATTTAGAATCAATTAGCATGGTTCTTGCTGACTCAACTATGGTTCTATTAATCTTTCGGCTTTTCCATTACTTTCAGGAGTATAAGCTGTGGTGAATTCTTGTTTGATGCCTTTACTAGACAACCATCGCTTCAAATAATTTGAAACATATTCTCCTCCATTATCATTTCGAATTCTCTTTACTTTCTTTCCAGTCTGTCTTTCTTCTTGTATTATCAAGTTTATTATGGAATCTGCAGTTTGAGATTTTTTAGCAATTGGTATAACGAAAGTAAAATTACTATAATCATCAACAATAGTAATGAAATACTTATATCCAAATGAATCATTCAAAGGTCCAACTATGTCGGTATGCCATAGATCCAAAATATTTTCAGATTGTTTATATTGAATACTTTTGTAAGATTTTCTATGTATTTTTACTAATGTACAAGATTCGCAATTCCCTTTGATATTATGTAAATTTTTCAATCCTAATACCGTTGAATTATCATACATTTCTTTTAATTTCTGGAAATTTACATGAGCAAGTCTTTGATGCCATAAAATATCACTTACTTCTGCTTTTCCTACAATTTCCATATTTAGGAGAGATTCTTTCAACTTCAAATTTATCTCCTAATCTTTTTGCTTCATATAAAATCTCACCATTTTTGTCTATTACTTCAGCTTTATTTTTACTAAATAATACATTTAAATCATGATCCACAATTTTTGAAACTGATAATAAATTTTCTCTTAAATTTGGCACGTGTAAAACATTTTCAACTTTTAAGAATCTTTCATTTACATTCGACTTCATTCTTATTGATCCAATTCCTGATGATTTCATTATTGCACCTTTTTCAGCTGTCGCTAATATTCTTTCTTCCTCTTTATATTCTATAAATAGCTCTTTCTTACTAACCATATGATTGGAGGCTCCAGAATCCATATTCCATCTAATTTTGTCTTCCTTTTGTTCTTCCTCTTCGTAATTGTCTTCATTTGTTTCTATCACATGACTTGTAGATTCACTATTATTTTGTCTGTTTATTCCCCTTTTAGGCCCATTATAATTATACCTTGCATGCCCATCACTTCTATTCTTTTTACATATTTCCGATTTATGCCCAAATCCTCCACAATTAAAACATTTTATCTTATTTCTACACTCTTTAGAGATATGACCTATCTTTCCACAGTTATAACATTTAATAAATTTTCTTCTTTCCGACCAGCCTTATCTAGCTTTTGATGCAATCTCCTGTTTTTCTACTTTTTCTAGTTTCCTATATTTTATTTTTTTCCTCAGTTTCCTTTAAAATTTGTCGTATTGAATTCATATTATTTTGTTTGTCAGATTTATGATTTTTGCATCAAAGTCAAATTATTTTCTCAAACCTTCTGAAACGAAGC